GCTCTCCCGCGGGCCGCCGCTGGGTGGTAGTAGACGCCCAGGCGCCCTGGCACTGCGGCCTGGATCCCAGCCTCCCGCCTTCCCCAAGTCAGATGCACCCTGGGGTGACAGCCACCCAGCCGAGCCAACCCAGCAGCCTGGGCCACCACCTGCAAGAGGACATCCTGTATGGGCTCCCAGGGCCCACAGAGGCCCCCCGCAGCCTGTGTTGCAGGCCCAAGCTTAGGAACCTTTCCCCCATGTGTCACTGTGCTCCCGCAGAGGGCCTTGGGGACCTCCAGGAGGCCTGGCACAAGAAGAAATACACGTGTCCAGCTGGAACAAGTGGGGCACCCTTGTAACTCCCACCCTGTCTTCTGCATCCAACTCTCACCCCACATCCCAGCCTCCTTAACAGTACCTGGCCACTGGGCACAAAAGGGGCAGAGCAAGTCAAGGCAGGAGGGCTACATGGCCAGACCCTCACTGGCCTGAGGCCCACCCAGCGGCCGTGGGCCTCTTGTGGACCTGGTGGCCTGCAGCTGGAGAGGGACAGGCCTTGAGGCACAGAAGGTGGACCATCCCTTGCCTTTGGCATTAGCCACCAATGGGTCTCCTTTCCCCTTGACTCCCTGGCCTGATCAGCTGTCACACTCGGGCCTGTGGCCCTGAGCCCATGGCCAACGTAACTGGGGCAGTGGGTACTCCTGGCCATCTCCTCTTGGTCTCCCTGCTGCTTGGGATTAAGGGGACCACATGGGAAGCCCTGTGACCTGTGGCCTAGGACGCTTCCCTAGAGAAGGAGGGAAGGGAGGGACCCCTGTTGGGGTTCAGGCAGGACAACTTCTTCAATAGCCCCTGGAGTGAAAGTAGGGACAGCTGTCAGGACCCTCTGGAGGCAGAGGGGGAACACTGGTCACCTCCCTCGAGCCCACCTTGCCCAGCCAACCTGAGTTATCAGTGTGAGCAGACACAAGCATTGGGCCTGATGAAAAGACTCACTCCCCCAGCCATCTCTGCAGGGAGAGGGAAGTCAGCACTCCTGGAAGATAATTTCTGGTTGGGACTGATGCTGGTACTGTGGAAACAGGTTTTTTTATGAGCCAGAGTTTGTGCTTATGAAAGGACACTCCAGCCTTGCAGAGGAGGCACCAGGTGGAGCAGGCCTGGCCTGGCTGGAAGCCACCCCCTCTCGGGCTTTGTCCATCACTTGATCTGGGTTTGAAGGGAAATCCTGCCCCTGGAGCTCCCCAGAAACGCCATCTGCCAGCCCGAGGGTCAGGGGCCACCCCTCCCTTACCTCCCTGTCCTCTCCCAGGGAACAGGTGTCCCAGCAGCTGGCTAGGCTCCTCACTCCCTCTCCAGTGCTAATTCCCCCAGGCCCCAGCTAGGGCCCCCATCACAGAGCCCTCTGGGTGTCCCGAGCGCACTTGGCATCCCCACACTCTGCTTGGGTGCCTGGGGTTGGACACCATTGGGCTCCCCTGTAAACAGGGTCAAGACCAGCCCTGTGAAACCTGCAACGGTGGGCATGCCTGGGTGCATGCATGTGGCACTTGGCTGCTCCACCCCTCTCCATGTGGCACTACCACATGGCATCCATGCAGGGTGCCTGGCAGTGCTGCTGGCTGCCTGAGGATGGCCAGGAGACCTGGGCCACTTCCGTCAGGGCAGCCTTCTGACGCAACTAGGCAGCAGGCTGCCCATGTCACACCTGTGGCCTGTGTGTGCCAAGCCAGGCTGTGTGGAGCAGGCACTGCAGTATTTACAGGGTGCGGGAGTGCCAGGCAGACAGGCTGCACGAGACATTGCCTGGGAAACGTCTCGGGATATGTCGGGCAGCAGAACAGTGTTCAGACCCACACACAGGGTGTGGGGTGAGGGTGTGCGATGGCACCGTCAGGTACTGGGGTCCTCCATGCAGCCTTAGGCTGTGGGCTGTGGCCAGGATTGGCTGACCAGAGGTCAGCAGGCTCAAGCCACTGTCCCCAAATTCCGACAGGTGAAGGGCATCTGGGAAGAGGCTGGTCCTGTTGTCAAGCACCCACCTGGTCATGCTCTCCAGGGGCATCCCTGGCCTGGCCACCTGGCCTTGAGTCCACAGTGATGCTTCAAGTGCTCAGGGACATCAGCAGTGACCCAGGGTCAGGCTCCTGTGGCCCTCCCAGGATGTCTCCTAGCTGTGTACCTGCTGCCCCTCTAGATCTCCCTGCAGTACAAGTGGGAATCGTGAATGCCCCTCACCATGTCCCAGAGTTTTGTGGGGTTCCTGGCATGGCAGAGCAACCATGCAGTCCTGGGAGAGCAGGAGAGGAGAGAGAGCAGGAGAGGAGAGAGAGCAGGAGCCTTGGGACTCCCTTTTTTCAGGGAAACAAGTCAAGCAGAAACCCAGCTGTGGGGCCATTGTGGCTGGAAGGGGAGCTCTCAGGACTCCCTGAGAACCATGTGGTTTCAGGCTCCAGTGGAATCAGCTCGGGCCCTGATCTGGTGCCTTCTTGGGGGAAATCTGCTGCTGGTGTGTGTGAGTGGGGGAGGACTATTGGCCTGCCTGCTTCTCAGGGCCCCTGGCCCCTGACACAGTCATATTGAATGGCTTATCATGCAGGCAGCATGGCCAAGTTGTGAATTTGTGACCCAGTCCTCCCTACAGTTTGCCTTTGTGTTTTGTTTTTTTGTGGTACTGGGCTTGAACCCAGGGCTTTGTGCATGGTAGGCACTCCTGCCCCACAGCAGAGCTACACCCAGCCTGCCTTTTTGGCTTTCTGAATAGCCCACAGAGCTCTTCTCTAGGCACCCTGTGAACACCTTCCTCGGGTGGCCTGGGCCCCATGACCGGCTCCATGACCGGTACACACACTGCCAGCAACTTGGTCTCGGCGGCCCAGCCTTCCCAGGACCAGCGGATAGTGGACCTGAGCTGCCCTGGCCAACGACACCTAGCACGGCACGGTCGGGCCGAAACAGGCTCTGCACTGCCCAGCCCTGGCCAGTCTGTCCCACCGGTCACCTATGCCAGCTGCGGACCCAAGGTGCACCCTGACTCATCCAACCCCTGACCTTGAGCCACTCTCCCAGCCTTTGTCCATCTGCTGCCCTTCCCGCTCCATGTCCCACGCCACGCCCTCTTGGACATTTCCCACGCCCCGCCCTCCCCAGTCCCTCCCACGCCACGCCCCTTCCCCCAGCTAGGCCCCCGCAACAGGCCCCGCCCCCTGGCGACTCCTCGTCATGGCCCTCACTACCAACTACCCCGCCACGCCCCCTACCTGCACCGCCACGCCACGCCCTCCTTCCCTCAGCGGCTGGCGTGGGTCGCTCGGATTTCGTCAGGCCTGCAAGCTGAGCCTGGTGCGTTCCGCGTGTCTGAGACTTCCCAGTGCAAGGTCTTCCCAGGGCACCTGCCCGGAACAAACGGGAAGTAAGCATAGGTCAGGTTAGATTTGTAGTAGCCGCCTGTGGACAGGTAAAAACAAGTAGGTGAAATTAACTTTAATTACATTGTGCTGAGGAATTTGGTGCAACATGGAATCAGCCCACACTCGAATTTCCCGCACGCTCGCGTGCAGTCTCTGCCCTGGGTCTCGGGAATCCAGCGTGATTTTGAGCAGAGGCACCTCACTTTGCCCCACCCCATTTCAAGTCCCCTAGGCCCCCTACTGTGGTAGCAGGATGCAGGGCTCTCTTCTGGGCTCTCTTCTTGGCCGTTTCCCCCGCCTCTGAAGGCCCAGCCTTCTGGGCTTACCCAGCAGTACACCTGGATGGGGCTCTGGGCCTCCCCTCGCCTGGCCTGGCTGGAGGCTGGTGGTGCTCCGGGGTGGGGAGGGCACCCGGCCGGCTTGGCTTGAGGGTCCAGATGGGAGGTAGTGGTCCATATTGGGATGTTTCATGGCCTTGGCAGTCCTGCAGTGGGAAGGGTATAGCCGCCCCCTCCGGAGCTTTCCAGGACCCTCCTGGCACACTGGCCCTCTGAGCAACAGGGAGCAAGACATAGGGAAGCATAGCCAAGGGAGTTCTCTGCCTGGAGGCCCCGCATGTGAAGGCACAATCTAGGACCCCGGTCTCCTGCAGCCCCCTGGGCATGGAGAGAGCATTAATTGACCTGGCTCTGCTAAGCTGCAGGAGCCCAGAGACTCAGGGTCCTGGCTGGGAAGTGGAAACTGAGGCAGATTCACCGTGGTGAGCAGTCACGAGTGCCAGATACTCCAGGAGCCCAGGGAGTTCAGGTCCTAGATGTGAGGAAGGGACACGACTGGGGTGATAGAGGTTCCGGGGCCCTGGAGCGCCCCTCTTGGGCTGAAGAGACTGCCTCACTCCATGGCTCCTGGGCCCAGGTTCCTGCCAGGCTCCTGTCTCACAGTTCTAGCTCAGGAGATGGGCAAATCAGGACAAGGTACAAGGTAGGGGAGGTTGCATTTGCTCTGTGAAAGCACAAGTGTGTGAGGGAAAGTTTGAGAACTAAATGTGTGGCATCCTGGGGTGCAGGTGGTCAGTGGGGGCTGGGTGCAGCGCTTTGCCTGGTGGAATGGAGCCCAGCCAGGGGCAGCCTGGGTCTATGAGCCCCTCCGCCTTCCTGGGTATGGTGTGGGGGCTACCAGGGCTGAGAGGCTGGGAGACTGTGGAAGCTGTGGCCACCTTCTCTAAGTAGGAAGAGGCCAGGGCCAGGAGCTCATCCCCGGGAGTCTGGAGAGATGCTCCTGTCCGCTGGCCAGCCCTCTCCTCCCCTTGGTCCCCAGACTTTGGCTATGCACTCTTGTGTTGCAGGGACTCATGGACGGGCAGGCATTGCCCTGTGAGTGGCCGAGGGCACGCTGGGCAGGCCCACAGTGACCAATCCTGTGCACACTGAGCCCCTGCCCAGGGCAGGGGCTTTGCAGCAGTGACCTCTCTTTGGGGACAGGCCTGTCCCCGTGCTCAGAGCCTGCCCTCCCCAACTCTGCTGGGCTGGAAATTTATCCTTGCTCCAGCCTCGTGGATTTTTCCAGCCTTGGGTTGAGGCCTCAGAGCTCCAGGCGGGGCTGCTTTGCTAACAACTCTGTGACTGTGTGCGAACATGTGTGTGTGTGTGTGCGCGTGCTGCTCTCTGCACTGAGCTAAATCCCAAGGCCCCTCCTTGACCCAGGGTAGCTTTTGCAGGGGAAACTGAGGCTTGAGGGCCTCAGCCACATGTCTTGTGGTATCAGCAGCCAGCTGGCCTCAGAGCTCCCATTCCTGGGCACCGGGGTTGTGTGGCTCCAGTACCAGGCTTCTCAAAGGTCTGGGCTCCCAGCAGCACAGCCAGCTGTGGAGCCCTCCTCCCTGGGACTATGTCCTCTTGGCAGCCTCCTGTCCTCCTTTCTTCCTCTCAACTTTGCCCTCTCTCCCTCCCCTTTCTCCCAGCCTCCCTTCCCTCCTCTCCTGGCAAGCAGCTTGCAATCCCAACTTGTTGTTAACGTCTCCCCTGCAGTTGTCCCAGAGCCTGTCCAAGTTAAATATTACTCATAGAGATGCAAGCCTGCAGGCAGTACTACGCCTGGAGGTGGTGGATGGCTCTCTGGATGGTGCCAGGGGGAAGATGCCAGGCCCATACCCCAAGGATCCTCCTGGCAACATCTGCAGCAGCTGGTGGGTGGGGGCAGCTGGCACCCTGAGCCCAGACCCAAGTCCCCTGGCTTTCTTAGCCCCCTGCTCTATCAGAGTGGGTGGGGCAAGAAGGGCAGCCAGTGCCCCAGAGGGGCCTGGGCTGGGCCAGGCGAGGGTTGTCCCTTCGCTGGCCACTCCAGCCCTGTGCCAGGCCAGGGGCAGGGCTAGGAACAAAATGTCCAGAAACACAGCTTCATCTGTTCCACATCGATTCCTCTTGCCTGTTTGACTGTCCAGCAGGGAAGAGGAGGCCTGGGGTGCTCTTGGCACAAGAATTCAGGGGGACCTGAGGGGCCAGCCTGTCTGATAGGGCTGTGGCTCTGGGGTCTCATGGGATCAGGGCAGCAGCCATGCAAACCCTGCTCCCCCAGGGAGGACAATTAGGGTTAACCTCTGCTCCCCCACTTCCTCTCCTACCACCCTGCCCTCTACTCCTCTGCCTAGTGTTGTCTCAGGGCCTTTGCACCTGAGGGTCCCCACCTGGAAGTTTCACCTCTTACCCTTAGCTTCCCTCAGATCTTTGCAAGGTGCTGCCTATGTAATTATCCTCCCAGCCCCTGCCCCGTCTTCCTCCTAAGTATGCGGATCTCCATCTATAGAGCAAATAGAAAGGCCCTGGTCTCCTGTGAAACTCAAACTTGTTAGAACGGGAATGCTTTTCTGCTGGCCCTGGGCTTGCTGAGGACAGGCTGGCTGTGAACTTGGTGGAGGAGTTAATTCTTTGTTCTTGCCTGGCCAGCGTCTCACCCACAGGCACCCACTTCCCATGAAGACCACAACCCCAGGTGCAACTAGATCTCTTCCTGGCAGGACGGAACTGGTGACCAGGACTCAGACCATGATTTCTGGGAGACCTGTGGGGCACCTGAGTCAGGAGGGTAAAACCAGTACCTAAAACCTGAGGTGAAGGACCGGGCAGGATGCTGCAGGTGGCATGGTGTGGCTGCCCCTGCCCCTGGGCCTGTGGCCTTCCTCCCACCATGGTCCAGGAGCTGTGGAGGTGGGTTCCCCGCTAGATGAGCTGTGTCCTCCCCCTCCTGTAGCCCCTAGAGAGCGGCCCTGGCCCCTGGACACTCACCAGGCTTCTGTCCCTCTGTCCCTCATCCTTGGGCCTAAGGGTGGTGCTGCTTAGAGAGGCCCTGTGGCTGGTGGGGTGTGTATACCTGGTTAGTGCCGGGTCTGTGCGGGCTCTGGGGACTGCCACCCACCTGCCCACCTCATGCCCAGACCTGCGGCTATGCCTGCTGGTATCAGACAGGCGAGTTGGGACTTTGTACCTGAAATCCAGTGGAGGGCAGGAATGCAAGCTCAGAACCACCCTCTTTCTGTGCTTCTCCGGGAGCAGCCTACTGCATGCTCACCAGGACCAGAGAGTGCCCCCTTCTCACCTGGGTGTGGACAGCACTGAGGGTGGCCCTGCAACAGGGGCTGCAGCCCCCCTCAGTCCTGAAG